GATTCTGCAATGTGCCCCTACTGCCCCTTCTGCCCCTCCCTTCTGTTCTAACTAGTATTTTTATTGTGAGTGATTGATTTAAAGAGAACTTTATTTTTGTAAATTAATCATTCACCATGGTGAGGCGAAAGCGAAAAGACTGTCCCATTCCTGGGTGTAGTAAAACTCGTTTACTTCAACTCTCTAACCATTTAGCAGGTGTACATTTATTGAATTCTGATGAACGAAAGCCTTGGTTAGAGCAAGCGAGAGTAATAARCATAAATCCCATACCACCAAAAGACGATTTAGTTGTCGATCAACTATCACGCAGTATGGATGTTCGRTTTAAAAGTCCGACATCCCTTATAGTTTATGGTGCAACTTCTAGCGGAAAGACAAGTTGGACGGAAAAGCTGTTGCGCTGTGTGAATGACATGTTTGACCAACCAATCCAAAAGATTGTCTATTGCTATGGCGAATTTCAACCTCGGTTTCTCATGATGGAAAAAGAAATTCCAAACATTCAGTTCATCGAGGGATTTCCAGAGGATATCTACAGCCTCTTTGATCGAACCCCAGGTCTACTAGTCCTAGATGATTTGATGAATGAGAGCATGAAAAACGACGCCATGGTGGAATTAATTACCCGCGGTTCACACCATCGACAGATCAACACCATGACTCTAGTACAAAATCTTTTTCCCCCAGGAAAGTTTTCAAGAACCATAAGTCTTAAHACCCATTACATTGTAGCCTTCAAAAATCCTCGAGATTCCCTGGGGGTCTCAACGTTAGCAAAACAGGCTTTTCCCGGTGAAGTAACTCGTGTGATGGAAGCTTATGAAGATGCGACCCAACAACGTTATGGTTATTTGCTGTTTGACCTTCATCCCACCACGACGAATCCATATCGATTACAAACCTYTATCTTCCCAGGAGAGCAACCAGTGGTTTATGTCAAGCGTATATAATCTGTTGTCGTCTCCTAGTTGAATCATTAGAGRATGTCTCGTCGACTAAGCGAGAACGCAGACTTGTTACGAGTACTGGCTAAATCCAACCCCAAACTGAGACGTGCTGTTATCAAGTGCTGTAATAACGAACTGATCAAAGCTATCTGTGAAGTGACGTTGAACGTGCTGAAAGGCGTGGTTCCCATCAACGAACAACAGAAAAAGAAACTCAGACGTTACAAGAGAGTATTGCGTGTTTTAGTGGATAAAAAAGTATCTGTCAAGGAAAAAAGAGAGCATTTGAATCAGACGGGGGGCAACTTTCTTCCATTTCTCATACCGCCCGTGTTGTCTGTTCTGGCCAGCTGAAACACAACAGGAAAATGTATTTGGTTCCCGAAGAAGTCATGGCTCTGGTGCAGCAGCGAAACGACATTCAGACGTCACCACTGGTGAAATCCATGACCTCTCTCAACCAGCAAATGAACCACTCGCTCACCGAGACAAACCAGCCCGATGAAATAAAAATCAAGAACCACGAACAGTTATTTCAACGCTACTTGGGTTTACAAGAGCAGAGAGAAAATCACGTTCCTACAGTGAAACTGCAACCAGAGGCGATAATACCACAAGGAAAACAACCACCACAGGAATCCCAACCACCACAGGAACCCCAAGACCAACAACAACCACAACCTATCACGGATTCTGAGATATTAGAAACCGTTCCGAAAAAGTTCAAAACTCAAGCGGAAGGTTTAYTGCGTTGGATCAAAAAAACACCGGAAGCGGTTCAATGGAATGATAAAGGCGAGGTTTTATTGGAGGGTCAGCCTCTGCAAGGATCCAGCATTTCAGATCTCATCAACGATTCCCTTAGAAAACGAAAAAATTTCGAACCCCATGGAAGAGATGCGTTTACAAAGGTTCTGGCAAGCTTAAACACGCCTGAGGATTTTGTAAGAAACGTGGACCGCCGACAACTGATGGGAATTTTCAAGGCTGGAGGAAGACTACCCCCTAATGCGCCAGAGAATAGAATTAGCACTTTTCTACCTACCCCACCTCCTACACCTAGAAAGGAATCGATATCCCCCCTTACTAGGAAACGAGGGCTAAGACCGGCTTCCCCACAGGGAAGGAGGAACGACATTAGATGGTTGCCTTATTAAATTTGTATATTGTTWCTGAGTCAAGTCAATCAATAAAGAAGATAATAATTAAAGATAGATTTGTTGTAATGCTCTTTGTTTATCACATACACAATATTACATTCTCATATATACTTAGAGATAAAAAAATAAACGCTTTCATCATTCCAGAGCTTATTAGAACCAAACAGATTGACAATGGAATTCATGCTTACACCACGTGCTCGATGCATTAAATAGAAAATAGAATACTCTCCACAAACAGCTGTACCGAGACTTTGTAGATCTTTCAGATTACAAATCCAGTTTTGACTATTTTGATTAAGAAAGCTCAAAAAGCGTCTGCTATAAAAATGAGGTGGATGTCCATAGCTATCAAAAAACTCTCCTTGTTCTGGCGTGGTGAAATAAAAAGCTATCCAATGTTTTCCAGGCTTGGAATCAGGGTCTGTGTTGGCGATGAAACCACAGGGGTAGTCTTTAACTTGACGGGGTAAACAGTTTTCAGCAAATACTCCTCCAAATTTAATCCTAGTCACACGGTCTTTCTTGATAACCTCCTCTATCTGTTTGGTGTTCATCCTGAATAGTCGAAAGTTACGTGACGAGCAAAGTCAATCTCCACCGTGGATTCAAACTCTCCGTAAACAATAAGGTTGACYGCGTTGGGTAGGCCTGTACTAAACTGAACCTCCAGAGATACGTTTCCTTTCTGTTTCTGGTTCAAATGAGTGGAAGAACTGCATAGATCGGGGGTTAAATCAAAGACGAGAATGGAGTAGCCTTGATTGTAATCCTCTCGCGCGATATCGATTCCAGAATCTGTATAGAGTCGACCGGTTCCCGAGAATAAGGTCTGATAAACTTCCATAAAATTCCTTTCCCTGGCTTGTGCCAGCTTTAGAGCAATGGGTTTGAAGGGGCGCTGTTCGCCATCGAYAGTAAGGCTGATGGACGTGGCTCCATACAATTGAAAGTTATATGGGTTTTTGGTGTAACTCCCATTAAACGCGTCTGAATCGACCATGGCCAACRCTACTCGTTTAGGGACTTGTCCATTAAATAGATCCCCTTTATGAATGGATGGATTTCCTAAGGGTATAGTGTAGGTCTTGCAATCGGTTCTCCTCACGGGGTAGATGGCATTCACACCCTTCTTCAACTCGGTCAAGTGTTGGAGYTGGAGGGTGGGACTTATTTTCACCGCACGGACCTTTAAATTAGCACTTTGAATGGCAATCTTGTAATTGGGAGATGCTTCCCCGGACATTAACGCAAAGGCTGAGCTGTTTGGGTTTAATTTGATGGTGACGTCCACGTGATTTAGAAGAAGACGGTCACTGAACAGCATGTCACAGTGTAGGGGACCCCATAAGTCCACGATATAACTTTCCTTGGTGAACGAATAGCGGGTTTGAAGTCCTTTATTGTCTCCCTCGTCGGTGCAATCTGTTTCGTCCATGGCTCCTGCTGTGTCCTTGTAATAAAGCCCCGCTGTGAGGTGHGACTTTTTGGCTGAGAAGCCATAATTCAAGAGGGTCTCCAGCATGCTTTTGTAACTGTAGGTGCCGGTGGATTGCGTCACTTGAATTCCATTGAGAAATACATCCACTTGCTTAAACAGACTTTGTAAAAAATTGTTGACAGGG